TTAATAGATCATTTTTCTACAAGTTTATTATAACGTAGTACTAAATGGAATAAAATACTGATTAGCACTTTGAAATGATTTACAACGTTTTTAATGAAAAATGCTTATGTTATAACGTAAACTTATAAAAAAAAAATGCGTAGAAAATAGCGTAGAAGGACATTTGCCCAAACGTATATCTTTGTAGGTGTTATTGGGTGGTTCTAGTTTTCCATTGTTATACTCCTTTTTTGTTTTTCATAAGAAATATAAATGCTTTTATAATGTGAAAAAATATATACATTCAGTTTTATAACAGTTTAGATAAAAGGTAAGTATTTGCTTTGGATTCCATGGGTTGATTTGGCCTTCTGCATGAAAGAAGTTTTATGTATACTTTTATCTACAGTCTTTCTTTTGTTATTAATTCATATGATTTTCAATTTCCATAGAAAGATGTGCGGGACATCCTCACCCCAATTCAGGTCGAAGCCACTTACCTCCTTGGGCATCACGTCTTCAGTAAACGAAGCGCAGAGGAATTCCCACCACTTCAGCCAATTCTCCAGCAGAAGAAAGAAAAAGACATGATCAAGAAAACAGTAGGAATATTTTCCTTTATTCAAAACATTATGTGACATATAACGATAAAGAAGTTTTTAAAAATATGATATAATTCTGAAGAAATGAACCATATATCTGAATTCTCTTAGAATTTTTTATGAATGAGGGTTTTTTTATAAAAATAGATTTATGGTATGTCTTATTTTCCATTTTTCTCTATTTTTTAATATTCCTTTTAGGATATTGAGCTGAATATTTTAAAACATATATTTAGTCACAGCAGTAGTGTTCCATATATATAAAATGTTAATTTTCTCTCCCCGATGCCTTGCCAGGGAAGAAAATATATTATTAGAGAGTAATGGAAGTAAGTGGCGTTCGTGAGTTATTCAGTGTCATCCCGTGTGCTCAGTTCATCTTCCTCTTTCTCATTTCCTGTCTCTCTCACTGTCACCCTACCCACAGATTCACTCGTGTCTTTCTAGTCAAATTCCCTTGTTCAGTTTTACTCATTTATAGACATGTGTATTTATGTTTTACAACTATTTTTTAAAATTTCATTATAGGCTTTTCGGCCACATGCCAGGATTAATTGCATTTAAGGTGGATCCTGCCCTCTAACCAGTGAGCTGCTCTTTTCTAAATTATCCCAAAATATTTTGATTTCACCAACAGAGTATTTATTCTAACGAGCCCTAGTGTTCAGACCTTTACTGTCCAACAACACAAAGATACAGTGTTTGTCCAGAAACAGAATGTGTTTGGGCATGGTAAAAAGGCTTCATTAAGACATTCACTAATGACACACAGAATGTGAAAGGTGAAAGGGACATTTAAAGGTCTACTTCATATCCTGTCCAGACAAAATTGCCCCTAAGTCACTTAAAGATATTTGAGCTTGCAATCACCACTGTCT